TTTCCAAAAGTCGCCTACCTAGACGTTCAGCTTGAACTACATATCTACGCCCAAGAGGGGTCAGAGTTAGACGTGCAGATACTGCACCTGATTTGCACGCTGTGTAGACATCCAGATATGGTTCTGGACCGACCGACTCCATCTAGACATGATCTGCACGTCTGATGGACGTCTCATGTTTGGTGGGTACCGGCTTACTTTCACCCCTGGTTTTACTTTTTACGTTATTTTCAGTAGGTGAGGTTTTGGAGTCGAATCAAAGCACAGCTCTTTTTCTAAATCCACAGAACAAAAAACAAACAACATTTCTGAGGAAGCCACTGGTGGCATGTTCAGTTTTCACAGCCACATCACTACTTTTTATTAATCAGTGTTGGACTTTAACTATAATGGCAGTTACTGACGTGATGGTTTTGGCTCCCAAATTTTAAAAAAAAGAAAACTATTTAACAGAAAGATTACAAGAGTGAATGTAGAATCTAGGACCAGTTTGGTCCTCAGTGTGTTAAATTCCAGGGTAAATAGTCACTGCAATGACATTTCTTAACTGTTGTTATCATGTGCTGAAACAAGATTATTTTGCTTTCAAAAGAATTCCAGTATCGCCTTGCACTGTAACAGCTGCACTGTGAAATCCATGCCTGCACTGCCCAGTGAGGTAAAAGCCACTGCTAGTGATGCCAGATACTGTATTTATGCTTCTTAATAGAATAACCACGGATAAAACAAATAGGAGTGTTAAACAACAAGCTAGTTACTAAACTAAGATGAGGATGTTCGACTGTTCCAGGTGTAATTCTTCCAGCAATCAGGCCATTTTTGAAACTTGTGGTTTCGTTTTGGTCGAGCAAATGTGACTCATCTTCCATCCTGCGTTTAGGACCCAACCCTGAGAATCTGAGACCCGCGCAGAGAGCGCCAACCTGATCCTCACTGTACATCTTCAGGCTTTTGGTCCAGCCTCGATTTTAAACCCCATCGAAGACCAGCCAAACACCAGCACAGTCCGGAGGTCGGGTCCTAGTCCTCGAGAGGAAATGTGTCTTCAGGCCTAACTGTCACATGTTAGGAGCCCAGAGAACCTGAACTGAACTCGCACCCACTCAGCCCACTGACAGGATGTTCATAAACGCAACAGACTCCCACAATGACAACGACACCTTCTCCTGCTATGACCCCTCTGTGGTGGGGTACCGTTATTTCGGGGTACTCTGGGGCTCCCTGGTGACGGTGGTGGGGACTGTGGGGAACATCCTGACCATACTAGCCTTTGCCACGGACCGCCGCCTGCGCACCAACTTCAACGTGCTCATCGTGAACCTGGCTGTGGCGGACCTGCTCTACTGCGCCGCCCTGCAGCCCGTCAGTGTTGACTCCTACTTGCACCTGTATTGGCGCGGCAGCGCCGCCTGGTGCCGCCTCTTCGGCCTGCTGCTCTTCCTGTCCAACTCTGTCTCCATCCTCACCCTCTGCCTCATTGCCGTGGGCCGCTATATCCTCATCGCCCGCAGACCGCTGTTCCAGCGCCTCTTCTCGGGCAGAAGCCTGGCCCTCCTCCTGCTCTCTACCTGGGCCCTGGGGCTGGCCAGCTTTGGGCCACTCTGGCCCTACTACGTGTTCACGCAGCAAGTGTGCACCTGCAGCTTCCACCGCACGCGCGGCCGGCCCTACACCACAGTGCTCCTCTTCCTCTACTTCTTCCTCGGCCTGGGCTGTGTAGGCCTCTTCTATCTGCTCATCTACTGCCAGGTGCGACAGGCATCTGGGGCGCTCAAGAAATATCGGCTGAGCCGGCGTTCTTCACGCAGAAAGCCCACCCCTGCAGAAGGAGACAGCGGTATAACCAGCGGCACGGTCACCCAAAGCAGTGAGCTCAGCAACAGCTCAGCAGTGGCTCCGAAGCTTCCAAAGGAGCCTTCCGCAGACCCCGCCCCCAGGCCCACCCAAGAAGGAGAGAAGCAGCGGCCCAAGCAGGACGATGACGGGGAGTTCGCCCGGGTCACCAGAATGTGCTTCACTGTCTTTATCTGCTTCACCTGCTGTTTCGTGCCGTTCATTCTGCTGAACGTCGCAGACCGCGCCAACCGTGCCCCCCAGGCCGTGCACATGTTCTGCGCCAACCTCACCTGGCTCAACAGCTGCATTAACCCGGTGCTGTACGCCGCCATGAACCGCCAGTTCAGTCAGGCCTACCGGGCTCTGCTGACACGCGCCACCTGGCCACTGACTGCCCTCTGCGGCCGCTAAGCTCCACCCTCCAGAAGTTTCCTGCTACAGACTGGCCAGTTCATTGTCAAGCTGAACCATTCTGTTACAAGCTTCCATCTCATCTTTCTGTATACTTGTATATGGAAAGAAGACAATAGAGTTCACTCTGACTTTGTGTCGGTGTGGGCCATGTCCATTAATAAAAAGCCATTTTCTGCTTCCGAAAGCACCCGATCTGTTGGAGAAGCTGCGTCCCTCAAAGGTGTAGGGTGGAGGGGAGAGGTCTCTCCACCGCAAAGGGGAAACTCCATCTCACCCAACACCTGCCTTCTTTCGTCACGCTTCTGCTTTTCAACTGACCCAAACGACTCTATTTATTCAGCTTTGCTAATACAGGAATTCCTATTACATGAGTTTATTAGTAAATGTCTCTCTTTTTTGACAAAGACCACAATTTTATTCACAGATGCACGAGGCACTGAAAAATACAAGCCTGGAAGATGCTCAGTGGCCCCCAGGTGGACAGTGTCTGAATCACACCTCTTAGGAATAAACAGCAAACAGATCACACGCCAAAGTTCAGAAAAGAATTTACTGCAATTTTTAAGACATTATTTATAACAACATGGTGGATGTTCTCAAAAACTCCATGTTAGACAGGAGTACAAAGTAACTTTGAATATCCCCTCTGAGATGACAGAATATCACAGTAACGTTAAAGTGCATTAGTGGAAGGAGTGCAACGGGGGATAACGAAGTGCACAAACAAGAGATCACTCCTTCAATCCGTGAAAAAAAAGTGGCTATATTAACATGGCATTTCCATTAAGCGCAGAATCGTGGCTGAAACTGGATGGATGAAAAAAAACAGGCAACTCCAGCAAGGAAGCAGATAAAGGAATCATACAGTTTATCTGCATTAAGGAGCCAAACATTGGTCAAACATTAGACATTGATAATTCAGCAGTGCTTCTTTGACTGAAATTATTGTCAGTTTCACAAACTCAAACACAGAAACTAGAAAATAATATAAATATATAATAGCCACTTACGTAAGCTTTTTTTGTTCAAGTGAAAGAGCCCCTTGTCTCATCATAAATAAGTAAACAGATACTATCGATGATTGATCTGTGAGTTTTTTTTTTAATCCTTATTATTATATTCAATTTTATTGGCCAACCGATATTCTGATCAATTACTAATATATAGACATTAACCTAATGGGACAGAAGTGCAGGTCAGAAGTGTCTCAGGGGTGCAGCTGAACATCTGGCTGCAAGCAATCTGGAAACTGGAGAAAAGTGAGCAAGGAAGCAGAACTGTCATCTACAGGAAGAGGCGAATTACATATTATTTAAGTATATTTAGCTGAGACAGAATTCAAATAAGTGCATTTGAGTATCTACACAAGAAAACATCTATAGGGTTCTAACAGTACCACCGGAGAGAATAAACAAATATAAGGTGCAATGAGCCTTGCGGCCCAGTAGGGGGCGATGGCACGTGTATGTGGGGAATACGGTTGTGCTTGGATGAAATGCACATAGCAGTCAGGCACAACTGCTGATGACCCCTACAGCAGCTGCAAGTGCTCTTCAATACCATTTAGGAAGTGATTGTCCGGGGGTATGTCTTCCTCGGCAAGACCAAGACTGTTATCCATGTCATCTCGGTCAACCAAGAAGAGATCGTTCTTGAGGATGTCACAGGTCAGCTCTTTATCTGACAATGAATCTGGAGGAAGCAAAAGAGAGCGAGAGGCTGTATCAGAGATAAAGGGCAGGCTGATTTAAGCACAATACTTCGACCCTCCCCAAAACCATTCACAAAACATACAAGTGAGGCTGCTGTTAGGCCAGACCTGAGGATCATTATGATAGAGGAATGTGCAGTTCACACATTCACAGGTACAGTGGGTGCATAAAGGTGACATGATACCTTAACCCTGATACGTGACACTGCAAACTAGAACATACTACACTGCGTTTTGGCTGACAAGAACATTAACATGTTCATCATTCTGCCACAGCCAGTGAAGAATCCCCCAATATGACATGGCTTACAGTAGTCATGTAACGGTTCTGAAACAGAGACCGAAACCTCAATACAAATGTTCGCAATTTGGTATTATAGTTCTGTCTCCCGCTATAACACTATAACACATGTAAACCACAAAATTCTTATTCTACTTAAAGTTGGGGCAAGTTGTATATTTCATAAAAATGTTACACACTGTACTATCCAACTGCATGTCATGTGACTATTTTGGTCCAATCATGAGTGATGGCACCTGCGGTAAGAGCTAGGCTAGTTTCACTAGTTCAAGATGAACAATAACCAAGACTGCAGAGCATCTGTGCACATTTAAGTCAGTGGTGTGGGAACATTTTGGTTATCCAGTAGAGTAGAGTGTTTTTTATTTTTGTATTTGATTTAAGTTAAATAAAACAAGGTCTGAACTGAACCATGGATTTGGAGAGTTGTTACACCCCCCTGGCATACAGGTACCATTTCTGACTCTCCAAAAGATGGAGTGGTGAGGGGGACGGTGGGAATGAAGACACACACCCAGCCACACAGAGAGCACAGCACAACAAAGCATGAGTCACAGCAACAAGGAGCGAGTCACAGCAACACTGCATGAGTCATTGCTGTACCATTAACAGATCCAGTCCAGAGACAGGCAATAAAAACAGTGAGACAACATTTATTTATACAAAATAAAGTATGTAGATGGACAGGAAATAAGTAGAAAGTAGGCCCCAGACTGACATCCATTTGAATCTGAAGTCGATCTGAAACTCACCAAACCTCTCCTCTATCTGTACGTCACAAAAGTCGTCGTCAGGAAATCCACTCTGAGGGTCGTGCAGTGAATCCAAATCAAGATTACCATTCAGGATGTTCCTAAAAAAAATCCAGATAGAGAGATGGGTCATGACCACGAGGGGGGAGGCAGAGCGTCATACACACCAATCACATCCTTCCATGCAACAGGCCCTCAGGCAACATCCAATCCAAAAAAGGATACTCAGTCCCATTTGGTGAACTGTATATCCCACAAAATCCAAACTCTACTTAATTACTCGCATCTCAAGGCCCAACGGTCTTTCGCTAATGCTCAGGAAATATTACTCTTACTTGTATATAACACTAATCTACCTCCTGGGAGGGGGGCACTTACTCTTGAGAGATAAACACCAATTTTGTCTTCCTGTATTTTCGGTAGAGGTTTTCATCTGTAAGAGATAGGAAGCCCAATCACGGAAAAAAATTACATGATCTGACATGTGGGCGTCCGTCATATTTTGTTAATGCAGATGCAGGATAAAAGCAAATTCATGCACACTGTACAGCAGCAGGAACGCAAACCTATTTCGTGGTGGGTGTGCAGGATGCCCAAGGGTGTGTCAAGGCTACAGGGCCAGACCATGTGTCCAACGCGCCTCACCTCCTTTCTTCTCCTTGCAGTATTTCCCGAATGCCTCATCTCTCGGGATGTTGGGATACAGGAACTTCAGAGGGTTTTCAGGAATGTTTAACACCTCCAGGAACTGGAAGTTGCAAATGATTTCGGAGAAGGGGATCTGGGAAAGGTCTGTCTTAGTGAATGGCTGCACCGTCCGGACATTGGGGGTCTCTGAAACAGAGAAAGACCCCGCTCCAGGTCAAAACGCTCGTCCTCACGCACTCCGTATCACACGCAGACGGTGCTGCATCACAGCCTCACCGTCTTGGAAAAACTCCACCCAGGAGAAGGTGATGCCTCCGTCCCTGGCACTCTCGCTGAACCTCAGCAGGAAGGTCCCTGGCTGCTTCGTGCTGAGGAGCAACTTCTCCTTGTCTTTGTTCACAAAACCCATAATGCAACTGGCAGCAGATGGCAGAAGGTCAGGTCACGTTAAAGTAAACTCCCTCTGCGGCACATCGTAGCCAATCATTTTTTTGTTATTTACGATGATAATATGGCTTGATTAGGACATTTCTTTGTATTTGAGGAAACTTCTAATCTAAGCAGTAAAATCAAGACAGCAGATGGTGAGAATACCCTTCTTTCCAGAGTTCCTCCAGATAGTTCTTCACAAGGACAAGGATCCCATCAAACCATATGAAGAACGAGAAGTTGGAGCCAGGCATGTTTTCCTGCAAACACCGGGGGAGGGGGGGGCAGTGATTTTAATGATGATGAAATGTTTTTGGAAGAAAACAGAAAGCTATGTTAATTTACACCTGCTGGAACACAAAGACTCCGTTTTCCAAAAATTGTTTTTATTAGTGCTGCCTATTTCACCCATACTCTCGATCCTTCACAGCCTTGGCCAATGAGATAAGGAGGAGTTTTACTTTCCTTCCCAGCCTTGGCCAATGAGATAAGGAGGAGTTTTACTTTCCTTCCCAGCCTTGAGAGTGAGACAGCGAACACCATTTCATCTTCACTTAAGACCAGGTGCAAAAACTAGAGACAGAATAGTTCTGCACAGTTATGAACAATAATATCTCTGAATTACGCAGCTATCGGTCTCCTTCAGAAGTCCTATAACTGCCCTGGGATGCTGTTCATCCGTGCGCAGCGCCTCAGCAATTGATTATGTGAATATGCTCTGTTTGAAAGTTGGGGAACGTATATGCTTATACTTTAGTTTGATTATTAGTCCAATTAAGTAATAAAGTATTCCCTTCCTATACAAAGAAGTCTCCAATGGAAATTTCTACAACAGGATCCTTTTGTTTACCATTTGTGCAAGTATGAGTGCAGGTACATTACAATGCTGCTTTTTTTTGCCCATCTTGCACTCCTTTGAAACACACGCACGTGCACACACACGTGCACACACACGTGCACACAAGGTGGCGCATCTAAATGGGGACCTTCCATTCATTTCTATGGGACAAACCCTGACCCTAATCCCAATCACGACACATTTAACCCCTAGCTAGCCCTAACCGTAACCACCAGTATCCAAACAAGATTTCTGGCATTTTTAATTTTTTGATTGCATTCACAGATTTTTATAAAATTGATGATATCCAATTGGGGACCTGAAAAATGTCCCAAAACATAAGGAAGTTTCAGGTTTTACCACACTTTGGGCACATTTTGATTCCCATATGTGATCTATGCAAACCCACATACACACGCACACACACAGTCCATGTGATGATATCTTTAAGGAAACATTCTCCATTGATTTCTAGGGGAATAATCCTAATCCCAACTATGGCAACCTAACCTTAACCATAAGTAGCCAAACAATTTTTGCCAATTTTCATTTTTTGATTGCATTCACAGATTTTTTATTTTTTTTTTTAAACTGAGGTTATCCTTGTGGGGACTAAAAAAAATGTGTCCACAAGGTAAGTTAAAGGTTTTTATCAGATTGTGTGGAAATCTGGTCCCGACTATGAAATAATTACAAAAACACTCACTCACCCCATTTATCTGGCAACCCTAGGAGCATTTTGGGGGGTTCAGGGCCAAATGGAGATGAAGATTGTCTGCTGAAGCAAGGACTTGAACCTATGACCTTCTGATTACAGGTACAGAGGCTTAACCTTACTGCTACAGAAAGGTTTCAGCTATAGCTTATTCAACAGGAGAAGGATAATTCTTCTGAGAAAATGTATGATTCCCTTAACCTGACATGGTTCAAGAACATCACATCAAGCAACAGTAGTCAGGGCTCAAATCAAGTGGCATGACAGCATTCATTCCTAAGAAAGAATGACTCCAAAGCATTCTAATCCCAGAAGGGAAACGGCAAGAAATACAGAGAGGACCAACATCTCAGAGGTTCAGTTTGCTGAGGAAAGCAGATCAAGGCGTCAATGATCACAGGGTGATGGTGGTGGTAAATGGTGGAAACGGAATTGCCTTGAGATACACACACAAGAGTGAGTGTATGTTGCACGCTGAGACCCTCTGAGCCATAACTGTAGGCTTAATTACAGGTTAGGTGAGGTTGGAGAAGTACCCATAATGCCACACTGGACCTAATCATCGAGAGCTGACCTCATTGCCCTTACCTTCGAAAACCTGGTCCAGGAAATTGGACAGTTGCTATATGTCAGCTGCTGGCCTGTTTCAGAGAGAAATGTGAAATGAGTAACAGATCAGTCCATCCCAAGGTGATGAGGTGCAGGCACCACGGCGGCTGTCCCTTCTACTCACCAAGTAATTTCTGCGCGATCATCTCCAGCTGGTCGGGGTCGAGTCCGCGATCCGTGGCGGCCAGAAACTGCCAGCTCAGCATGTCTGCCAGCTGGGACCACGTGGCAGGAGAGGGGTTGTTGAAGAAGCTGATATTCTGGGGGAGGGAACGACAGCATCTGTCATAGCCATTGTAAACGGGGTGAGAGGAGGAGAACGCCACCCCCGCCCTCACCTCCATGTGGCCTCTCACCGAGGGGTCTGTGGACACCATGTTGAACCACAACACAGAGGCCCAGGCAGCCTGCTGCTGGCTGGAGTTGGAGATAATCACCACGGGAAGCGAGGACGTCTGAAGGGGAGACAGCAAAGCCAAGGGAAGACCATGAGGATTCAGGTGACAAACTCTCATGGAATTTTAACAGGAACCAGTTACGATCGGAGGGATTTATTAGCCCTCATGTTACCAACTGGAGGTATATTTTTTGTCATCTCACAGGTGCTTATCATCATTCCAATTTTTTTCCAATCAATTTGTTCCTAATGATGTCACATCAATGTTTTCTATTTCTGACCCCAGTTAAATCGCACCCAATTACAACTATTTCGTTTTAATAAATGGAGTTAATATTTGCCATGGGTCCTAATTTACAGTATCATGCAGAATCAAGGGGGGGGACTCTGTCAGTCATTGTGAAGAAGACAGACACGAATTACTACATGTGCTTTCTTGACAACTTGAGATACTGCTGTTCCTAACATAAGATGATGTTCAAAGACAATCCATCCATTTCCTGCAACCGCTTGTCCTATTCAGGGTTGGGGGGGGGGGGTCCAGAGCCTGTACCAGCAGCTATGGGAACGACGCAGGAAGGTGGGCCACCTCATCACAGGGCACACTCTCGCACGCACACTTATGGGCAGTTCCGTAACTCCAATTAGCCTCAGCATGTTTTTGGACTTTGGAGAGGAAGCCAGAGTATCAGGAGGAACCCCACAACAAATCAGGGAGAACAAGCAAACTCCACACGCTTGGAGACTTGAACCCTGGTCACAGAGGTATTAGGCGGCAGCACTAACCACTGCACCAACCCACGTTCAGAAATGCAATGCACAACTTCATAATGAAATGTTAAATAACTATCAAAGTTAATGTTTAAGTTCTATTATACATCATAATATGAAATAGTTTGCCATGCATATGGATGCCATGCAGTAAGAGCATGATCAAGACGCGCTGTGAGTGTGGGGGAAAAGCACAATTGTACCAATTTTTGAGGCCTCGGAGGGGGAGGGGGGAGGGATATGTAAGGAGAAGGCGCTTTCCCAGAGCTACAAGAAGCGTTTGGCTGTAATAAATCTAGAATATAACTATGAAAGAGCTTTTTATAACACCAGCATTTGAAAAAATGGCAAACAGATCAAAACTGACCAGATTTGATGTTGCTGCTTTGTATTGAAAGACAAAAGAAAACTCAAAAGAAGTTGAGAGCAGCGTGTGGCTCAGTGGGCTAAGCCTCTGTGTCTGTGATCAAAAGGTCACAGGTTTGAACCCAACCTTAGCACATTTCTGGGTGCCTCAGCAAAGCCCTTAGCTCCCTGGGTGCTGCTATGGCCCTTCATATATCAGAATCAAAGGATGGCAAATAAGCTTTTAAGTAATAAAGTGGATCACACTAGGGATAAAAGCTGCAGGTTGTACAAAAGAAAAGTATAGATTTTTGTTTTACAGCATATGCAAATTCATTGTCATAATAATACTATTTTTTTTAGATGACAACTACATATCAATGCTTTGACAAGAAATGTTTTGCTCTCATTCTTATTTTCATATTATGATTGCTTCTGGTCGGTTGCCCATATATGCAAAATATGTTGGTAGGATGAGGATTAATGGTCTGACTACCAACCATCAATCATGATTAGCCTGTAGGTTTGAGCGTGCTTCATGGGCCCAGATCACAGATGCGTGCAAAGGCTCAATTATGGCCCTTATCTTTATAGTCCTACAACCTTGACTTTGGCTAAAACTGACCAAACGAGACTATGTCTGAGAAAGGGACATGAGATCCAGTTCACTTGTATCTGTAAACACATTATCTTGCACATGCGGGCCCTGACCAGGTGGCCCCCATCCAAGTGTTCTCTTCGTCTGAGTGGTTAAAGCGTCATGTAAGTTAATGTGATTGGCTGAGGGCTGTGTATCACGTGATGGACATAACGTATGGAAACCTTCAGGATGGTCAATGGCATTTAGCTGGTAGGACTGTCTATTCTCTCCGACCCTCTTCCTTTACTTTGTTACTCTGCCTTCTGAGCCTCTCTATTCTGGTCTACAAAGGTAAAACACAGCAGCCATGCATAAACTGAAGCTGCTTTGCCTTGGTGAAGATTTTGTAGCTGCAATTTGGTGTTTTCTTCAAAACCGAGCACAAGATTAAACAGAGCCTAAGGGATCTTATTTCAGTCATAACTCATAATTTTGATAAAATGCACAGTTACTGTGGTTTGGCTGCAGTATTAGCTACTTCCGAGTGAATTCTTCAAAGACTCGTATAAAAACTGAACTTTCGAAGCAGATCATGAATAGATGCTTAGAGCAAAGTTCAACGATCTCTTTGCGTTTCCAACAGTCAGGCTGAGCGCCCAGCAAAGTGAGGGTGTGGAAGCTCACCTGCAAGGTGACTGACAGCCCGTGCAGCTCAAACTCCGTCTGGAAGGAGATGGTGTGCAGCTCCTCGGTGACGCTCAGTGAAATCTGCAGGATGCAGCCATCAGCGTCATTCAGCACCTGCGGCGACGGCAACTCGCTGCTTCGGAATCGGCGTCACGCTTGCCACCGTACTTAGTTACCTACCTCATGCACTCCTTTGCCCCCAACTCCATTTTTCTTCTCCTTCAATATCTGTGGAGAGAACGTTCCGGAAAAGCAGAACCATCAAAAACGGAGCATCAGGCAAGCCCACCACAAATTTAAGTCTTTCAGTCAGAGGTGGATAGTTCAAGTACAGAAAATAAAAATCTAGACCAAGATCTTGTGTCAAACAACTAGTTGAGTACTCTGTGACTGTGACCCTTAATACTTAACTAGTTGGTGAAACAAAATCTGGATTTTGACTTTCTAAACCTAAACTACCCACCATGCCCCCCCCCAGATGCCTGAAGTCAGCCACCATGCCCCCCCCTCAAACTCACCAGATGCCTGAAGTCAGCCACCATGCCCCCACTGCTACTCTCAATCATGTTCAGCGCCTTGGTGCTGTTTCCCAGCACGTTGAACCTTCGATACCTGCATTGTAAGACGTGACAGTCATGGAGACGCCATTCTAGCAAACCACTCTGCCCCCCGAGACAGGGGGTGCCATGTTTTTCTCTGTTCACAGAACAGCAGCAAGCAAAGTGTGAACAGACTCACCCTTTCACCTGGGGGGCATCCCTGAAAAAAACAGACACACCATTCAGAAGAGATTCACAGCACATCACTACATACAACTATCCTGCACCTGTCATTTGAGAAATCTGACAGCGCGGGGAGATGGTAGCGGTATCTGACAGTGCGGGGAGATGGTAGCGGTATCTGACAGTGCGGGGAGATGGTAGCGGTATCTGACAGTGCGGGGAGATGGTAGCGGTATCTGACAGTGCGGGGAGATGGTAGCAGTATCTGACAGCGTTTGGAAGCACAGTGGGTGCAGCATTTGCATGGCAGTGAGAACTGGTAAGCAGTAGAAAAACAGACATGAAAAAAAATGTCATCAGCACCTGTCCATAGTTACTGTCACTTTCATTACGTGGTTCAGCTCAGGGACTTTGACCAGGAGCCTATAAAAAGCAAACAAACAATGAAGCATTAAGCCACAGTGCAGGGCAACAAATCCGAGCTTCCACAGGTCAGTAGGGGCCATTTTTAAATGATTTCTCTCATGTACCATGAAAGCTACAATAAACTATGTTCATTCTTTTGGAGAGGCTCATATTTGTGTGCCAGTGTGGCCACAGCAGACATGTGTGAGATTATTTATGGAACTTGAACATAAAACATTACTCAGTTTTTTTTTTTATGATCATGAGGCAGTAAGGGGAGGTGGTGCCCCATTCCATCCCGGAAATATGAGTCAGGAGCCTGTCCCAGTTCTGTTACATTCCTAACATTCTGTCCGCTCTGGATTTCTCTACACTTGGGCCAGTAGTATGTTTTTCATTCTGAAGGTCCCCTGGAGGCATTCCACTGTTTGCTCATTTTCCCCTATTTTTCATTTAGTACAAATAATATATGACGACAAATGTGATGCAGACCTATTGTGATGGCAAACAGGACAGCACAGTGCCATGGTAACAATGCCCTGCTGAGCACAAAGCCTCTGTGCTGCACCGTTTACCACCATCGAGGAGGCAGTTAGTGGAAAGCTCAAGGGGCTCCGTGCGCGTATTTACCGTGTGGATCTGGCAGCCGCGCCTTCAAGCCAGAAGCCCAGGACTTGCGTTAAGGCAGGACAGTGTGACTCACCGAGTTTTCACAGAGAACTGCACGTTGGTGCGAAGGATCAGCGGACCCTTCCCCTGTGGCATGGAGGGCTGTGTCTCCACCACGAAGGCGCTGGAGGAAAGAGAGATGCAGGAGTCAGGCAAGAGGAGGCCTGGGATGGAGGACCCAAGGAAAGAGAACTGCTGCACCCCCCCCTCCCACGATACCTATCCCACCCCCAGGCCACTGTCCCTATGAGTCCTACCCCACCCCTTT